TGTGGAAATGGTCCATTCCGCAGAGCAGCTGCGACGCCACCCAGGAACGCGAAAAGCCCACACTCACATGACAGGCCTGAAGGGAGGAAATGAGATGGGTGCAAAAGACACTTGAGGAGGTGATCGTGGGCTGGGAGGCGGCTCGGTGGTAGAGCGCTTGCCTTGAGGAGGTAACGGATTCAGCAAAGTTCTGCATGAGCTGAGCTCTGCAAGACTGTCCACAACCCAAACTGCTGAGAGCCACAGAGGAAAAAGAACCCTGGACAGCCACAGAGAGCACTGTGGGCGGCCGTCAGCGGGAGACGTGGATGCCCATCTGAGGGAGATTCTGGACTTTCTGACAAGGGAAGAGCGGTTGGGATCCTACAAATTTTTCTGGAAGAGAGGGCAGTGTGGATAAGAAAACAGAAGCCAGAGACAACCATCTCCCCTGTGAATTCTCTCCAACAACCTGCTACTCCAGTGAAAATGAGCCCGCCAAGGGCTCAGCGGGTGCAGCAAGTAAAATACACAAGAAACAAAGAGCAAAGCCTCCCCGCCTTGTGCACGTAGAAAAAAGCCAACTCGGCATGGCCGGAGGCACAGGTGTGCATTCTGGCCCCACTGCACCCTGAGCCCTCTGGGAGGCAGTCAGCTGAGGGGAGAAAGTCAGATAATCTGAGAGAAAAAAGTAACAAGACCCAGCAGGGACACACAGAGAGCAAAGAACGAAACTGTAACTCTGATCACATCAACGCATAATCACACTTCTGAGAAGAGAGACTGCCAGACTGGACTTGCAATTCACTTTAAATGTGATCCCATAATTAGGAAAAGATGAGTTGGCTGCAGGCCAGCCCTATCTGTAATCCTAGCTACTTGGGAGGCAGAGGTTGGGGACTGCAGCTCGAGGCCAACCAGGGTAAAAAGTTACTCCTTCTCAAGAACACAAGCCAAACATAGAGGCACATTCCTATAATCCCAGCTCTGCAGGAAAACTTAGGTAGGAAGATCTCCCAAGATTCCTATCTTAAAAAAAGATATGGAGGGGCTGGGAAGGTGGCTCAGTGGTAGAGCGCTTGCCTTGCATGCCTGAGGCCCTGGGTTCAATTCCTCAGCACCACATAAGCAAAAAGAAAAAAGCCAGAAATGGCGCTGTGGCTCAAGTGGTAGAATGCTAGCCTTGAGCTGAAGAGCTGAGGGACAGCGCCCAGGCCCAGAGTTCAGGCCCCACGACCGCCACCCCCCCCCAAAAAAAAGATATGGAAACTAAAGACTTAATTTTTTTCTTTTTCTGGTGATTCTGTATTCTTTGCCTTCTTATCTATGGTGTATTCATGTGTGCATCTTCCAAAGGGTGGTGGGGAGGGCAGTGGGCAGCACACTGGCACGTGGAGGTGAACGCTGCACTGTAGCGTGGAGCCGGGAGAGGGTGCAGAACACACTGCGCTTACCAGACGCACAGAGCCACTCCGCATCTCCTCTACGATAACAATGAAGTATGCTGTTTTAAAACTATAAGAGCAAATGTTTAAAATAAAAGAAAAAAACAAGTAAAAAAACAGCTGGGGATGGGTCTCAGGGGGTGGAGGGCCCCAAGTCCAAACCCCAGTGCTGGAGGGGGAAAAAGAAAAGAAATAAAAGCGGGGAGGGCAATGAAAAGAAATCATAACACCAATAGTGCAGAGGGTGCAGAGGTTAAAAGCTCTTCTCCCGAGAGCGCAGCAGGCACAGAGGACTTGGCAGGCGAATCTACTGAGTGCTCAGAAACAGCGCGTCCTAGAAAACCAACAGTAACACGTCCTGTAATGTCAACTGCCTGCGAGGCCACGAGCCACGGAGCGTGGCTGGAGGCCAGCTGATAGAGAAGTTGGCCTGTGAGAGGGTGAGAGAGTTCACAGTCAGCCTGGGCTACATACCAAGACACTGCCTCGCCAAAAAGGGACAATAATCATTTGAGGCTCACATCACCCGGACAGCAAAGCCAGACGAGATGTGGCATGAAGGAAAACCAAAGATTCAACTCATTCATGAGTACCAAGACAGGACTGGGAGCAGCGGGAGGTAAGGGTGCAAGTGGGCATGTGCCCACGCACGCTTACACACAAGGGTGTGTGTGTGTGTGTGTGTGCGCGCGCGCACAGATGCCAGCCCACCACTGATGGAACAAATACTCAGAAGAGTCAAGCGGCAGCCGTCCATGCTCCTTGTGCCCCACAGCACTCCAGCACACATCCTGCAGGCCAGCGGGAAGGGCTCTTTTTCTTTTTTATGTCGGTCGTGGAGTTTGAACTCTGGGCCTGGGCGCTGTCCCTCAGCTCTTCAGCTCAAGGCGAGCGCTCTACCACTTGAGCCACAGCGCCAGTTCTGTGTGAGGGGCTCTTGATGGACACCTGTAGACTCTGCCCTGCCGGCCAGGCCTGAGCTGCACACCTGCAGTGCACACACATGCAGGCACGTGTGCACACGCTCACACGCTCCGTGTTGTGAAGCTGGGGATCTGGGGCAGACGGGCCTGTGTCAGGTGTCTGGGATGTGTGCCCCGTGTGTGCA